GGTGAATTAAGTTTATTGATGTATGTATATTGAACCATCTCTGCATCCTGGAATAAGGCTAATTTGATAAGGGTGAATGATCCTTTGGGTTTGTTTTTGAATGTGGTTTGCAAGTATTTTATTGATTATTTTGCATTCATGACTGTTAAGGAGATTGGTCTATAATTCTCTTCTTTGTGCTGGAGCTTTATCTGGTTTTGGTATCAGTAATTATACTGGCATCATTAAAGACTTTGCAAGTGTTCCTTCCTTTTCTATTTTATGGAATGATTTGAGTAGTATTTGTTCTTTGAAGACTTGAAGATTCTGTGCTGAGTCCAACAGGCTCTGGGCTTCTATTAGTTGGGAGAGTTTTGATTGCTGTTTCTATCTTATTAGTCACTATAGATGTGTTTAAATCACTTACTTTGCTTTGATTTAATTTCTGTAAGTCATATGCATCTAGAAATTCTTGAATTTCATTTATATTTTCAAATTTAGGGGAATATATAGTTTTTAAAGTTATTTATTTAATAACCACATGATTAGAAGAAGCATTTCATTACAGCTTTAATATATTCAATAACAATTTCCAAAGCAAAAATGCTCTTTGCTCTTTCAAAATTGGCTGTAAATTTTTAGGTTCACAGTTGAATTAACATAGTTATACAATACAGAACTCAGTATAAACCCTATAAGACATAAAACTGAATGAGGTTTTAACCTATTAAAAAGACCTCCATTTCATTTTAGAATACAGTTTCATACATAAAAACTCACTTCTAATGCTACTAACACTTAGATGTTTGCACATGCATCTCTAATCTCTATGTATCTATTACTAGTCACAGTCAGTTGTACTTGGATCCTTGGCACCTGAGTATGGATATAAAGTCATCAGGTAGATTTCAGTGGTAATGTTTTTCACCTCTACTAATTAACATGAAGCAAATTTTTACACTTCTTCTTCAAATATTTCTTTTTATTTGTTAATTTTTGTGTATTTCATACAGAACATCCCAAACAATCCTACTCATTTACATACCCACATCCCAAATGGCACCCTCCCATACCCCCCGCCCCGAAGCCACACACTCTGTCATCCCTGCTACCGTCCACTGTGCTGTTAACACTCCCAGCCATTCCCCAGTGCTTGTCCATCAGCTGACTCCAGTCGGCCCATCTAGACTTCCCGTTTTAGGAAGATCAGCTTGCCCTAATCTAGCCTCAGTCAGTTGCCAACATTCCCTTATATAAGACTGGGGTCTGCTGTTCAGAGTCTCTTTGGCCATGCTAGCCACCAGCTCAAAGGAAGATATCTCCTGTCTGGCATTGTTTCTTGTTATGTAGCCTTTAGCTATACACATGGATTCTTAAAGAATTATATTAACTCCTTTAATCTTTGGTTATACTTTCCTTTTGGGTGTTTAAGACCATACAGTTCACCCAGATAAACCAATTTATTTTTTAAATTTTTAAATAACTACATGATTAGAAGCATTTAACTACAACTTTAACATATTCAGTAACACACTCCAGAGCAAGAGTACATCTCTTTCACAAGTGGCTGCAAGTTTCTAGGTTCACAGTTGAATTAATGCAGTTATATGATATTGAACTCAGTATAAGCCCTGTAAGACATAAAATTGAATGAGCTTTTAACCTTTAAATAAGATCTCCATTTCATTTCAGTATATATTGTTCCTTGCAGAAACACTCATTGTTTTCACTACTAACACTGAGATGTTGGTGCATGCCTCTCTAATCTGTATGTAAGTGATTATTACTAGTCATAATCGGTTGCACTTGGATATTTGGCACCTGTGTATGTCTATAAAGTCATCGAGTAGATTTCAGTGGTAATGTTTATCACCTCTACTCATTAACATGACGTAAATTTTCCATGCTTCCTCCTCAAATATAATACATTTTTAAAAATTTGTTGA